CATTCCTGATGGTTTGTTCCCACCTGCCCAGCCCAGAAGGACCTCAAGGGATGTTCCTCCAAGGAGAGGTCACACCAGGGAGGTCCCAAAGCCACCCATGGGGTCACCAGCAGCACCAGGAGAGGGATCCCCAGGGAGGATCCAAAGGGATCTTTGGTTCCCTGTGGCCACTCGAAGGGTTTGGGGAACCCACCTCAACCCCAGGAGGTTCTTCCCCCAGTTCAACCACAAAGGGGGTGGTTGTGCCACCAAAAACTCAGGGAAAGGGGGAGTTTCTGTCTCCCAGCCCCATCCCAGGGTCAGGGAGGTTCTCCTGCCCCTCTTGGGGGGGACACACCTCTGGGTCCAGCTCTGGGCTCCCCAGGTCATGAAGGACAAGGTGCCACCCAGAGTGACTTGGACAGGTTGGAGAGTTGGGGTGAGGAGGAACCTCATGAGGTTCATCACTCAAGGAAGAACAAGCCCAGAGTAGCTCTGGGGACCAGGACCTGAAGGCACCAGGAGGGGTGAAGGTGGATTTGCTGCCAGTGGACTTGGATCTGCAGCTCCTGACCTGGTGGGAAGGACTGATGGAGAAGTTCATGGAAGACCCTCTCCCATGGGAAGGACCCCGTGGGGAAGCAGGAAGTGTGAGGAACCCTCCTCCTTGAGGAGGAACCACCAGACTGTGAACTGACCCCAAACCTCATCCCTTGTCCACCCTGGTGGGAAAGAGGGTGAGAAATGAACCCTCCTTGGTCTTGTCTTGACCCATGAGCTTCTCGTTGGGTTTGTCCTCCCCACCCCAACATCTGGGGGGGGTTGGGCCCAAACCTTAGGACACCTTCATGTTCTCCTCACCCACAAACTTCTCCTCCTGCCTGGTGGGAGGAGGAACCCAGGAAAAGTTGGGAGGAAACACCAAGATGGTCCAGGAGAGAAATGAAATCCCATGGGAATGGGAAAGGAACTCACCTTTGAGATCCAAACAGTCTATTCTGGGAGCCAGGTCCTGAAATTCCTGCAGAAGACCCCAAAAAAAGGAGGGTTTGGTCTTCAGGAGGAGAAAGGAAGAAGGAATGAAGGGGTGGGAATAACGAGGGGACATCCTGATGGGAATGAAGAGAGGAGCTGGGAATGGGTTTACTGGGAATGGTGGGAACCTCTGGAGGGTCTGGGGGATTGGGGGTAAAGGGGTGGTGGGGATGGGGGTGGAGAAGGGGGTGCTGGGGGTGGTGGGACCCAAAGCACAAAGGGACTTGGGTGGGATCCAAACCAGAAAGGGTCTTTGGTGGGTTCCAAAAAAGGGGCTCAGGTGGGATCAAGACAAGGGATTTGGGGTCCATGGGGGGCTGTGGGTTGAGGTCCATGGGGAGTTCTGGGATGAGGTCCCCACCATCCTCTGCTTCCCACCCAGCCCAGCACCTGGGGCTCAAATGGGGTCCATGGGGGGTTCTGGGATGAGGTCCCCACCATCCTCTGCTTCCCACCCAGCCCAGCACCTGAGGCTCAAAGCGTTGGCATCAAGGGCTGTTGGGATGGACCTGGTGGGGGACACACACCAACCAGGAGCTTCTCTTCCCAAAAGTGGTGTCCTAAGGGTTGTTGGGGACAACACCTGGAGAAGTTCTACCTGTATCTGCCTCAGGAGCTTGGGGATCTGCTTGCAGTTCAACTTCTGGCAGGCTTGCTTGTAGGCCAACATGATCTCCTCCACGGTCACGTTCTGGGCTGGAGAAGGGATGGGATGAAGAGTTGAGGTGACACTTGGATCTTCATGGAATCATCTCCCTTCCCTCCCTCTACCCATGGGATTCCCACCCAGCTGAGGACAAGGAGCTTGGAGAGGGATTAAGGGAGTTGAAGAGCAGCAGAGGGATGGAGAAGCTGAACAGGGCTGGTTGGGACACGTTGGCAGGAGCTTGTCCTGTCTTGTTGGGACAGGAATGATGCTGGGAAAGCTGAGGAAGCTCCTCCTGGTCCCAGCCCAGCAGCTCCAGAGCTCAGAACAACTTTGGGAAGTTCCAGGAGGACAAACCCATCCCCTCCTGGTGGGTCAATAAACCACCAAAACTTCTCCTTGTCTCCAGTTTTTTGCTGTTTGGCTTTTTCATTCTTGGCTTTGGGACCACCTGGAGGTGAAGAGACCACCACCCATGGATTGTCCCCCTTCCAGAACCAGCAGGAGGGGTCACCTCTGAGGTGGTGAGACATGAAGTTGAGGTCACCAAAGCTTCCAAACTCAGCTCCCTCAGCACCACCAGCAGGATTTACTCGTTGGCTTCTCCCTCCCTGAATCACAGGACCGGATGTCGGGACCTGCCACCAACTCCTGAGCCACGTGAGCCACCCAGACCTGGCCAAGAGCCCCAACAAACACTTCAACCATCCCTGGGTCAGGAGATGAGCTGGAGAAACCAGATTCTCCAGGAATCTCATCCAGGAGAAGCACAAACCAACCCCAACCCCCCCCCCCCAATCCCTCAGGATTGCGACATCCTGAGAGCGCCAGAAAAACCAACGCGGCTCCGTCGGGCGCGTCAAAAAAACACCAATAAGACTGTTTTTTTTATCTTCTCCCTGGTCCAACCAAACTTGTTGGGCACCTCTGGAGCAGGACGTGGTCAGAGGGACACGTGGCACCTGCCCCAGCTCAACCACACCCTCCCCAAAACCACCTTTTGGGCAGTTTTTGAAGGCGTGGTGAGGTCTGGGGGGACGACGCGGTCAAGATTTGGGGTTGGAGGGACTCGTGGGCTTCTCGAGGTGCTTCCAGTGTCCCTCCCCACACAGATCCAAGCTGCTCCATGTCCAGGAGCACCACCTGGACCTAGTGATCCCAGTGCAATTCCTGGCAGGAGATCACCCAGCCCACCCATAACCCTTCCATGGCAGCTCCAGATCCCCCTGGTGGGGCTGTTGGGTGGAATCTGAGTCTGGGTCTTGCTCTTGGGAACCCCTGGAGGAGGTGGAACCCCAAGAGCAGCTCCAGATCCCTCTCCCAAAAATGGAAAACCATCCTGAATTTGTGTCTTTCTCCTGAGGGAATTTTCTCCTTCATCTCAAGAGCTTTTTTGGAGGTTGGTTTCTCTTCTTCCCCCACCCCCCACCAACTGTTCCTCCTGCCCTTTGGAGCCTCCGAGTCACCACGTTCGACTTTGCCTTGTGACCCACCAGCTGGAACATCCACCTTCAAAACCATCCAGAGAAACCAAAACAACCCCAAAACCACTTGGAATTGCTGGGAAAAGCTGGAGCTGATCCCACCACACGTGCTCCTCAGCACATGGTGGGGGTTGGGTGGCTCCTTGGTGGAACAAAGAAGAGCTGTTCTGGAAAAGGTTGGATCGACCACGAATCCCCACGTGGTTGTCTCCACAATTATCAAGTTGGGGAACAACCAGGATGGGCTCCTACTTGGACCATCCCAACCCTTTGGTTCCCCTTTTCCTTCAAGTCTGTCCCCAAAATCACCACGTGAAAGGACAAAATGAACCCAGGGACCCTCTGGGGTGCTCAGGTCCCTCCAGGAATGTGGTGGCACCAGGTTGTCCCCAAAGATGGACCCAGGTTTGTCACCAGCCCATCCTGGCCCTGCTGAGGCCCAAACAGAGTTAATTAATTAATCTCTTGATTACTGCTTGGCAAATGAAGATGCCAAGAGTGATAAAGAGGTTCTTGCCCAACCTCCTCTGGAATTCTGTGGGTTTCAGCCCCTCATTTGGTGCCAATTCCCACCCACGGTTCCTCCGGAGGGAAAACATCCCGAGAAGCTGCTCGGCCAACCAGGGACTGGGAGAAAGCCTGGAAAACCACAGGATCAGGGGATGGTTTGGGGTGATGGGACCTTCAAGGTCATCTAGATCCAACCCCCTGCATGGGCAGGGACACCTCCCACCAGCCCAGGCTGCTCCAAGCCCCATCCAACCTGCCCTTCAACACCCCCAGGGATGGGGCAGCCACAGCTTCCCTGGGCAACCTGGCCCAGGCTCTCCCCACCCTCACAGCCCAGAATTCCCTCCTCATGTCCAACCTCAACCTCCCTCTTCCAGTTTTCATTCATCCCCCTCATCCCATCACTCCTGCCCTTGGCCCAAGTCCCTCCCCAGCTTTCCTGGAGCCCCTTCAGGCACTGGAAGCTGCTCTAAGCTCTCCCTGGAGACTTCTCCTCTCCAGGATCAACACCTCAACTCTCCCAGCCTGGCTCCAGAGCTGCTCCATGGGACCATCTCTGTGACCTCCTCTGGGCTTCCTCCAGGAACATTCTGAACCTGGGAGCTCCAGAACTGGTCCCAGTTCTCCAGGTGGGGTCTCACCAGAGGAAGAGAATCCCCTCCTTGACCTGCTGGTGACACAGCCCAGGACACGGGTGGTCTCTGGGCTCCAGCACATGGTGCCAACCCACGTTGAGCTCCTCACCAACCACCACCCCCAGATCCTTCTCCTCCAGCCTGTTCTCCATCCATTCTCCTCTATCTCTGCTTGGGATTGTCCCGACCCACGTGCAGGACTTTGCCCTTGACCTCGTTGACCTTCCTGCACTTCCCAACAACCCACTTCTCCAGCCTCTCCAGATCCCTCTGGATGTCCCCCCTGCCTTCCAGGAGGTCACCAGGCTTTGGTGTCACCACCATCAATCCCACCGTGTGTCCCCAACAAAGCCCAGCACCAACAAACTCCTCACTGGTCAAAACTCAGAGAAAGATCCCAAAAAAAGGGTAATGGAGAAAACATTCCCATCAAATCTTGGGAGTTCCCAAGCCTGGAGAGATGGTGGAGATGGGTGGGATGACCCTCAAGCTCCAAACTTTCCCCTCTCTGGCAATATCCAGCATCATCACTGACCAACCAGGGCTCAAATCAAGTGGGATTGGGTGAAGAAACTGGGATGGAAACTGGGATGAGCCTTGTGGGTGGAACTGGGGAAGTGTCTCCACCAGTGAGAGACCCTCGGGGTGTCCAAGGGATGGAGCAGGGAATGGAGTGAGAGCAGAAGGTCTTGGAATTGAATCCTGAGTCGGATCCGGGCGAGGAGACCGAGGGGTTGGTGCCTCATCAAGGTGTTAATTAAAGGCATCAATAATTAATGCTAATGGGGAAGGTTGCATGGGTTGAGGGATGAAACTCAACACCAGGTTGGTCAGCTCAGGTAACTGGGATCAGGATTCCAAGGTGTTGGATTCCAGGTCCAAGGTGAGGAGAAGGTTCCAAAAGAGAAAGAACGAATGAGAAATCATTTAAAAAATCCCAAAAAAAGGGCTTGGTTTGGTAAGAAATTGGGGGGGGAGGGG